GCCACAATGCCCAGCTATTTTTTTGTTGCAGCTGTCATTGTTGTTTAGCTGGCCTGGGCTGGGTTTGAACCTGCCAGCCCTGGTGTATGTGGCTGGCACCGCAACCACTGTGCTACCAGTGCCAAGCCACCTCTTTCTATTTTCTTCTAAAAATTTTATAGTTTTAGTTCTAACATTCAGCTCTTTTTTTTTTTTTTTAAGAGACAGGGTCTTACTATGTTGCCCAGGCTGGTCTTGAACTCTTGGGCTCAAGCAATCCTCCCACCTAGGCAGCCTGTGTAGCTGGGACTACAGGCATCTTTGATCCAATTTGAATCAATTTTTTATTTGATATAAAGTAAGGGTCCAAATTCATCCTCTGCATGTAGATATCTACTTTTCCCAGCACCAGTTGTTGAAAGGACTGTCCTTGCCCTATTGAAAGGTCTTGGCATCGTTGTTGAAAATCATTTGACTATATACCACATAAAGGTTCACGTCTGGGTTCTCTATCCTATCTCCCTGGTCTATATGTTTGTCTTTATACCAGTACCACACTGTTTTTACTACTGAGTTTTGAAGTAAGTTTTGAAATCAAGAATTGTGAATCTTCCAACTTTGTTCTTCATTTTCAAGATTGTTTTGGCTATTTGGAGTTCCTTGAAATTCCCTATCAATTTCAGGGTAGGTTTTTCTATTTCTGCAAAAAACATCATTGCGATGTTGATAGAAGTTGAATTGAATTGGTAGATTGCTTTGGGTGGTATCCATATCTTAACAATATTAAGTTTTCCAGTCCAGGGACACAACTCTTCCCATTTATTTCTGTCTTCTTTAATTCCTTTCAGCAATGTTTTATAGTTTTCAGTGTCCAAGTGAAAAATCAGTCTTGGCAAGCTGAATTACTCTATGACTCTAAACTCGCTGTAGAAACTTGACTCAGATTTCTTTTCTAGCTCTAAGCTTCTATGATTCCCCAGTACTTAATCAAGCCTTGAAGCTAACTAAATTTTACTAATTCTTAGCCAGAAGAGCACTATAAATTCAGTTAAATAAACATTTACTGAGACCTTAAGACATTCCAGATTTTGTTAAAATACAGCTCACCATAACATAAACGTTCCTCCTTTGAATGTTCTTTTTCAAACCTCAAGTTTAAAATAGCACTTTCCTCAAAGGATTTTACTTTTATCTGGATTAAAGGATGTGCTAGAACACTCAACAACAGAGTCAGCCTAAAAACCAGAGGATCAGCTCACTCAGTTAACGTCTAAATATCATTTGCTTTTCTTAAATAATATTTTCTATTCTGTGTTTTTTAAAAGGAGGGTACAGAATGAAATCTTTGATAAAAAAGATTTAAATAGTGCATATGATTACACAGACCACAAAGGAATTTAGGCCAGCGTATCTGGGAGCATAATTTCAGATTAAATCCCCTATGTACTACTTTACTCGCCCGGCTCATAATTCTGTTTCTTGATCACAGCACCAAATCGCTAATCCTCAACAACTACCTTACAGAAGCCACTCATTCAACAAACACTTGACACTCACTACTCTGCACTGGGAACTCAATTAGATGCTCAGTGCTACCAACTAGGAGAGCACACAGAGATGCCTTAACACATCCCCACCATTGGCATCAGAAAAACAACTCAGATTGAACATCCTATAGTGAGTGGGTCCATAGGAACAGTTTTAAGTCAGTCCTAAGTAGAATCTTGGATTCTGGGAAGATGGCCAACTGGTAGCAACCCTTAACAGAGGCTCCTGACCAGAGGGAGAAAAACTGGACGGAATCAGACTCTATGAAGCCAAAGGTGGGGAACTGAGCCAAAAAAGAAGTTTGGCAAGCTGTAACTCCAAGGAAGAGCATTCAAGAAAACAAATCACAGGAATTCCAGAAGGAGAAGAGGATGGTCCTAAAGGTATAGATGCTCTACTCCACAGATCTTGGAGGAGAATTTCCCAAGCATTGCAGGAGATACAGAACTTCAGATAGCAGACAGTTTCAGAACCCCAGCAAGACTCAATCCAAATAAAGCATCTCCTAGACACATTGTGATTAACTTTGCCAAAGTTAAGATGAAGAAAAAAATTCTGCAAGCAGCCAGACGTAAGAAAAGCATCACCTACAAAGGGAGAAATATCAGAATGACTGCAGATCTCTGAGCTGAAACGTTTCAAACCAGAAGAGGATGGTTATCAACCTTCGATCTACTGAAACAAAACAACTTCCAGCCCAGGATCCTGTATCCACCTAAGCAGAATCTTGCTGTCCATTAATATTTACTGCGTTCCCGCCAACACACAGGCCTACAGCAGAGAGGACCAACAATCCTATTTTTAACATGACAAAAACCTAAATTATATTTTGAAAACTCATGTTCAAATCAGAAGGAAGACTGATTTTTCCTTATTTTAAGAAAGGGAAAACTGGGATTAAAAACAACAAACAAGCAAATACAACAGCACTGGGACAAATCCAAATCTGTCAAAGAAAAATGAAGTACTGACTCTGTGGCACTCCTAACACAGCTGCTGGTTAGCTAAGCACGTGCATAAAATCAATGACCCTACTGCTGGGGAAATCAGAAGCAAAAGACAAGCCTCTTTCTTGGTCTATGGTTTATTTTTCTTATACTTTCTTACAGTTTATCATCTCACCCATATGCACATGAATTTTAAGAAATACTGATGAATATCTAGAGCCAAAATCTAATAAGCTAAAATGAAGATTTCCCTTTACATGATAATGTACCTATGTTATTTATTCTACTATTTAAAAGACTTGTAAAAGCTTATTCCAGAAATTAGAAGATTATAGTGACAAAAACCTTTTCAAGTCAGGGAAAAAAATTCTTTCAAAAATAAAGTGTTTAATTGCAATCAGGATTATTCTGCCTATAATCCATCAGAAGCATCTGTTTTGGTTTTCGCACATATGTGAATGACCCAAATAAACAGGTGATTCCAGAATAAGATACTGACAGTGAGAAGAAAAATGTAAAGGAAACATTTGATTTCTACCCACATTTTATATCTGGTTTATCTACAGGTAACTTTATAACATAAGCGATTTATATTTTATGGTTTCAGATATTACTGTTAAGACTGTTAAATAAAATTCCCTATGAAGTGCACTGACCTGCTGCCTCTAGGATTTCTGTTGAGATGATTTCTGGTTAGATATAACTCCCAAATGTTTTAAAAAATAAAACCAATAAGAATTCACCATTAAAAAGAAAAACCTAAAGCAGATAACATTATGAGGTTTCCTAAAAGAATTCTCAAGAATATAATTTTAAGGTAAATTGGAAATATGCTTAGTTCCTTACAATAACAAATAAACAAGGTCGACTTATTTATAACATGACAATTTAGAGCTCTTAAAAAGTATGAGAAAACTAAGAAGGTTGATTTCAGGATTTCTAAATTATGACTGAACTTGGGAAAGGAAATGGCATTTATAAATGAGAACTACCTCTAAAGATACAGAACTGGCAACCACATCCCTCTCCCTGGGTCCAGAGAGTGGGATGGATGACATGATGGACAACACGAGGGTCCATCACCTCGAGGCACGTCCACTGAGACAGCTTCCTCACTGGTCCCTGCTCTAGCGTCTCCTCCTACCACTCTGCCCTCTGGGTGCTGTTGGCTGATCTTCCTAACGTGGAGCTCTGACTGACACCCTTAGGAGGACAAGCTCCTGAACCTGACATTCACAGTGCTTTGCAAGATGGCCCCACACCCACCTTTCCAACCTGATGTCTCTTAACTTCTGCCACATATACCTATGCACCAGCCACAGAGAACTGCTTGTTATTCCTGCTGTGGCCCACACTCTTCAGATTAGCTCTTTTGCTTACTCTGTCCCCTCCAGGCAAAATTCCCTTTCCCTTCCCTGCTAAAATCTTATCCTGTTCTCATAGCTCTTCTCCAATCCCATCTCCCTAGGAGCTCTCTTATTCCAACTGTCTGATTCCCCTCCTTTGATACCTCAGTATACTTACATGTGTTTCAGAAGACATTAATATTCTATTTTATATCACAATTTGTTGTCCCTACCACTAGACTAGACCCTGTGAGGCAGAATCTGTATGATTATTGCCCTGTCCCCTGAAGCAGCTGGTACAGTGCCTTCCATACTGTAGGCGATTAAGTATATACTGGGTTAAACTGCATAGAAGTTTTGCTCCAGAAGAGTCACCAGAAGGAAAATATTCATGTGCACAGACAGAAGACTAAAGGCTAGTGATAATATTCTGAGAAAAAGTCTCAGAATATGGGAAATATATACCAATGGCAGAAATATTTCAGTTTCGTAAAACTAAGACCTACAGGCTTTTGTGAGGTCATGACAGAAACACATGTGCAGACACACACATAAAAAGCCTCTCTTTCCAGGTAAGTAATTAATGAACTAAAGGAGAAGAACCTTTAAAATAATAAACTCAATCATTTTCCCCAGTGAACTTGTTAAAATGTTAGAAAAAATGTTAACAATTTTGTTGCAATAAAATCATAAACAGTCCTAATAGGTTGTACATAATTAGCTCCAGGAAGACAAAGTCTTTGTGAGCGTACTTCCAAGTAATAGGAAGACAGGTTAAATATTACCAGCTTTTCTTTAACTATAGTCTCCAAAAATAAATGAAAAAAATGAATGGGTTTAATAAGACTTGATTTGGAGTTCCCTAAAAGCAGGGCTTCTTAAAATCCTTGTGGAGAGCTGCTTTTCAAGCATTTCCTGTTGCAGACTGATACTCTTTCCAAAACACAACAAAGATGCTGCAGCAATCCCTGAAGGCGGCATGTACTTTCTCAGGGGCCAGTAAAACTCTGTTTCCCCAAATCCACCTACATCCCACAGGCTACTGGTGCAGGAGGCCAAGGGAGGATACAAGCTTACCTTCTGCTCCTGCACCTCGAATACTGCTTCATGGACACTGCAAGCAAAGAGTGAGGTAGGCAGATCACTTAAATCCATCATCTCTTCCAAATCATCTTCATTTTCACCAAAAATCATCTCTTCTTCCTCTTCTTGGTCACTGCTACAGAGATCTGATTGGCTGTCATTCCAAGATTTCATAGTGTCCCTTAACATTATCCTCTAAAAGCAGGATGTGTATCAGGCACCTATTGTTAAGAAAAGAAAAAAAACAACACACGGATAAAATTTTGAAGGCCCCAATAATGTTCCAATCAGTTGCTCAAAACAGAAACTCATCACATGAAGCAATTTTATTTAGGGAAGATAAATCGGCATTTAAATCAACTCACTACAACTCTCATAAATGAATTCTATATACACCAATTTGATTTGCTTAGCATATTTTACATAATATTTCATTGGCATTGATACACGAAGAAAAAAATGCAAAAAGTTTTCTGGAGAGATCAGAGGGGATAATATAAAATAAGACATCATCAATATGTACACTAGTTTTCAAGCACTAAGAAGAAAAATATGAACCAGAATGGCCTTCACATATTTGTTTTGGGTTTTAGGTCTACAACATTGAAACTGGCATCGCAGAGTAAAACCCACACAGATCCACTCACCATCTGCACCCTGAAATATGGTCTGTGATGAGCTGATTTTACCTTTCTTAACCAATTTGTTCTTTTTGAATATACTCCCAAAGAATTAAGCTACACAGAATCAAAAGTTGTCCATAAAATTGGCCTCTGTTAATATTAGAAACATTTATAGCAGGTAAAAGTTTAACTGGCTCAGCGCCTGTAGTTCACTGGTTAGGGCGCTGGCCACATACACCAGCCAGGCCTGGGCCTGCTAAACAGCAATGACAACAACAACAAAAATAGCTGGCTCAGCACCTATGGCTCAAGCAGCTAAGGCGCCAGCCACATACAAGGGAGCTGGCAGGTTAAAATCCAGCCCGGCCTGCCAAACAATGATGGCTACAACCAAAAAATAGCTGGGCATTGTGGCAGGCGCCTATAATCCCAGCTACTTGGGAAGCAGAGATAGGAGAATCACTTGAGCCCAGGAATTGGAGGTTGCTGTGAGCTGTGATGCCACTGCACTCTACCCAGGGTGACAGCTTGAGGTTCTGTCTCAAAAATAATAATAAGAATAATAGCCAGGCGTTGTGGCAGGCACCTGTTGTCCCAGCTACTTGGGAGGCTGAGGCAATAGAATAGTTTAAGCCCAAGAGTTGGAGGTTGCTGTGAGCTATGATGCCACAGCTCTTTACTGAAGGTGACATAGTGAGACTCTATCTCAAAAAAAAAAAAAAATTAACATAGAAGATAATTTAAAAGGTCCCTTTCCTGAATATGTATGTATTTATTTATTTATCTAGACACAGTCTTATTTGTCACCCTGGGCAGAATGCCAAGGAATCATAGCTCACAGCAATCTCAAACTCTTGGGTACAAGTGATCCTCTTGCCTCAGCCTCCTGAGTAGCTTGGACACAGGCGCCTGCCATACCACCTGGTTATTTTTAAAGACGGGTCTCACTCTTGCTCAGGCTGGTCTGGAACTCCTGAGCTCAGATGATCCACTCACCTTGGCTCCCTGAGTGCTAGAATTACAGGCATGAACCACCTTGCCAGGCATACCACATTTACTTTTAAAGAGCATGATACATCCTAGCACTCTGGGAGGCTGAGGTAGGTGGATGGCTTGAGCTCAGGAGTTTGAGACCAGCCTGAGCAAAAGTGAGATCCTATCTCTATTAAAAATAGAAAAACTGAGGCAGGAGGATCCCTTGAGTCCAAGAGTTGGAGGTTGCTGTGAGCTATGACACCACAGCACTCTACCCAGAGTGACAGCTTGAGACTTTGTCTCAAACAAACAAAAAGAATGATACATACAAGTGAATACACCAAGAAGCAGATAGAGTAGCAGGGACTACAGATGTAGTCCACAATGCCCAGATAATTTTTCCATTTTTAGTAGAGACAGGGTCTCACTATTGTCCAGGTTTGTCTTGAACTATCCTCAAGCGATCTTCTGCCTTGGCTTCCCAAAGTGGTAGGATTATATGTGTGAGCCACCATGCCTAGACCTCTTACTGAACTTTTAAAAATCACTGATTTTAAGTCCAACTCCTGGAGCTAACAGTGTTCCTCCATTAAAATAACAAAGCAATCTGTCACATATGGACCATTTGCGTTCACAGCCAGCTCCTGCAATGAGCTGCACATCGCACCCACCAAGGCAGCACCTTGGACATAACACATTCCCAGATGCTGACACAGACTTTAAGAACTACCTACCAAGCACAGAATAATTTAAGTGATCACGATTATTAGCACCTCAAGAGTACCTAATTTGTGATTTTCCCTTTTATTTTAAAGAACACAAGTCCGCTGGAGTACACTGCAGAGCAGTAATTACAGGATAAAAACAGTGATTTTTGTTATTCTACTATTTCAGTGAAGACTAATTCTAAAAAGTAAAATCCTTACTTGTCTTTATAAACATATGCTGAGTGCCTCCTGCTTGGTACTGGAGGATAGTAGATGAATAAGATGAGTTACCCACAAGGGACTCCCACCAAAGCACAAATTAATACTGGACTATGCTGACTACTCCACTCTCCTAGAGGGCGCTATGCCGTTAACTCCACCATTTGGATCCCATCTTCCCCTCACTGTACCTCTCTGTTTCTCCTTCACCTTTCCTACCAACTTCCTAGGACCTGCAGGTGACTTTCCTCGACTCCAGCCACCCTGAATTCAGCTTAAAGTCTCAGCCACCACCTTCTGGCTATGACTGCCCTCATTATGGACAGCAGTAGTTTTCTAACACGTTATTTTATTGCCCTTCATAGATAACTGTGTTTTTTACGACCAGAGGTTTGTAGCAACCCTGCATTGAGCAGGCCCACTGGTGCCATTTTTGGGTCTCTGTCACATTCTAGTAATTCTTAACAATATTTCAAATGTTTCCATTACTGCTGTATGCGTTATGGTGATCTGGGATTATTGATCTTTGGTGTTACTTTTGTAATTGTTTTGAGACACCATGAACTATACCAGTATAAGACAGAGAACTTAATTGATAAATGCGTGTGTGCTCACTGCTTCACCAGCCAGTCACTCCTTGTCTCTCTCCTGTTCCTCTGGCCTCCCTACTCCCTCAGACACAACAATATTGAAATCAGGCCAATTAACAACCCTACAGTGGCCTAAGAGCATTCAAGTGAAAGGAAGAGTCATACACGTCTCACTTTAAATCAAAATGTAGCAATGATCAAGCCTAGTGAGGAAGGCATTTTGAAAGTCAAAATAGGCCTCAAGGCTAGGAGTTTTACACCAAACTTTTAGTCAAGTTGTGAACACAAAGGAAAAGTTCCTGTAGGAGATTCGAAGTGCTACTCCAGAGAACACATGAATTTGTGTGAATAAAGTGAAACAGTTTTGTTGCTGAGGTGGAGAACATCTTAATGGTCTGGATAAATGATCAAACCAGCCACATTCCCATACGCCAAAGCCTAATCCAGAGCAAGGTGCTGACTCTCTTCAATATTATGAAGGCTGAGAGAAGTAAGTAAAATGCAGAAGAAAAGTTTGAGGGTAGCACGGGTTGGCTCAAGAGGTTTAAGGAAAGGAGCCATCTCCGTAACATGAGTGCAAGGTGCACGTTACCCAGAAGATCCAGCTAAAATCACTGGTGAAGGTGGCTACACTACACAACAGGTTTTCAATGTAGATGAAGACGCCAGCTAGGATTTTCACAGCTAGAGAGAAGTTAAGGGTTGGCTTCAAAGCTTCAAAAGACAGACTGACTCTTCCTAGAGGCTTAACACAGCCAATGATTTTAAGCTGAAGCCAAGGTTTTACACCATTCCAACAATCCTATGGCCTTAAAGAATTATGCTAAATCTGCTCAGCCTGTGCTCTATAAATGGGAAGAACAAAGCCTGGATGACAGCACATTTGTTTACAACATGGTTTACCGAATGTTTTAAGCCCGCTGTTGAGACCTACTGCTCAGAAGATTCCTTACTGCTCACTGACAATGCACCAGGTCACCCAAGAGATCTGATGGCGATGTAGAAGATGATTAATATTCTTTTCAGACTCAGTAATACAACAATTCTTTAGCCCATGGTTCAAGGATTATGACTTTCAAGTCTTATACACTGCATGAGGCTATAGCTGCCATAGACAGTGATTCCTCTGATAGAGCTGGGCAAAGTAAACTGAAAACCTTCTGATAAGGATTCACCATTCTTGATGCCATTAAGAGTATTTTATGATTCATGAGAGGAGAGCCAACGTTCAACATTAATGAGATTTTGGAAGCAGTAATCAACCCTCATGGATGACTTTGAGGGTTCAAGTTTTCAGTGGAGGAAGGAACTGCAGATATGAAGGAAATAGAAAGAAAACTAGAATTAGAAGTGCAGCCTGAAGATGTGAGTGAATTGTTGCAATCTCATGATAAAACGTGAATAGATGAGGAATTGCTTCTTATAGATGAGCAAAGAAAGTGGTTTCTTCTTTCTTCTTTTTTTTTTTTTGAGACAGAGCCTCAAGCTGTTCCCCTGGGTAGAGTGCCATGGCTTCACTGCTCACAGCAACCTCCAACTCCTAGGCTCAAGTGAGTCTCCTGCCTCCGCCTCCCAGGTAGCTGGGACCACAGGCGCCCGCCACAACACCCGGCTATTTTTTGGTTGCAGCCATTATTGTTGTTTGGCGGGCCCGGGCTGGATTCGAACCCGCCACCTTAGGTGTATGTGGCTGGCGCCTTAGCTGCTTGAGCCACAGGCGCCAAGCCAGTGGTTTCTTGAGATGGAAGCTATTCCTGGTGAAGATGCCGTGAACATCGTTAAAACAACAACAAAAGATTTAGAATACCACATACACTTAGTTGACAAAGCAGAGGTTCAGAGGATTGACTGCTATTTCTTTTAAATTTCAGATTGATCTAAGTGTACAAAACATTAGTTTTCATTGTTTGCATGTGTTAGGTAGAATCCAAGTTGTAGTTGAGCCCTTCACTCAGGAGGTGTGCTATGTATCCTTACATGTGTACATTAGGGGGTAGCAACTCCCCCCATTTGTTAACTGTGTTTTTTTTTTTTTTTTGAGACAGTCTCACTATTTTGCCCTCAGTAAAGTGCCATGCTGTCATAACTCACAGCAACCTCAAACTCC